GCTATTGTCAGCATCAGGTCGTTGCGTGACTTTTAAATAAAACACATCTTTATACCAACGAAAATGGGTTAAAGATGGACATCTAAGATTCTGAAGTAATTCATGGCTAGGGTCATCATTAACTGCACTGCTCCCAATAAAATGGTAGAGAATAGTCTGGACTAAAGTATAAACTGCATCCTCTCTTTGAGTAACAGTATTACTAGTGGGATCGGTTTTAGTTTTGGTAGCATTTAAGATTTCATGCTGTTGATTAGAAGTGAGAACATTATCCCACCATCCCTTAAGGATACCTGAAAATCCATTAACAATGAATCTAACTATCTGATGGTCAAAATTATTATTCTATTTACAAACAATGGCATACATAATAATCCAATATATACATACAAATATATGATATTCAGAATAACTATCTATATTCCATTCATAAATAGTGTTTCCATGATAAGAGTTCTAGCCATGAAAGAAGTCTTCTTCATAAAGAATATCCTGTGGTGTAGGTCTATGATAATAATACCTATTAGCGCCTTGTATGGTTGTCCTGCCGGTTTGTTTTGGGAAAGCAGTTTTGTTAACAAATTGCATATCTTGAAAATTATTCTGAATTTCATAAATTAATGAAGGTGTAACACCCTTATCAGCATCCAAATGTATTTCTAGAAATTGTTGAGTAGACAACATGTTTATGAAACTACTACCTGGTGCTGCTTTTCCTAAATTTAATTCATTCATTTTTTTTCAAAAAGGTATCCATAAATTCATTATCCTTTTGAACAGAATGTAACTTAAAATTAGTTACTTCTAAAGGTGGTTTAATATTTACCAGTTGAAGAGTAGAGGCTGGGAATAGGACCAATTGACGATCTTTAAAAGTATCAATGGTTTCCTCGATTCTAGTCAACTATTTGCCTATTGTTTGAAAACATAAATTAGTTTAATTGTTCTGTTTTATTAATGGTACAATATCTTTAATTTGTAAAGACTCTTTCTAAGCCATTCTGGAGGGAGTTTCCACATAAGCTGTAATGACTAACGGTTGATGAGAGACATCACTAGGGGTTAACTCTAAAGACTGTGGTGGTGGATGGACAGAGATTATGGTTTGACCACTTACGATTGCCCATGTCCTTTGGATTTTCTCCAAGACATTAATCTGCTGATTGGAAATGAGGTCCATAACTGTGCTAAATTCATAATACCATTCAGGAAAAGATCGATGGATTTGATATTTTGCTAAATGATAATAATATTGATTTTTTAATTGTTGAAGTTGCTGCTGAGAATGGTTATTAAAATACCATATTCTAAATTCCTGATATTTATCTTATATAAAATCCTGGTTAAGTTCTTTTCTAATTTCACTTCCTGGTGTAAAATCCATTTAAATTTCAAAATTCATATCACTAGTAGTTGAGCTCTCAGGCCTTCTAGTTCCATATATGCCATGAGGAATTTGGTTTTCAGATATATGAATCACCTGGATTAGAATCTCAGGAAGAGGGTCAGGAGAAGCTTGACTGGGAGGCCAAGAAGGCATTCCTTGATTAACAGATTCAATTAGTTCAAACATAGAATATCTGGAGGATTCTGGTAAATCTACTCTATAGAGTAAATTAGAGTGCTAACTCATACTGGATAGACTTTGGGTTAGAGGTCTTTGAAATTTAAGATAAACATTACCTCCTTGTGTTTGAATAACATCATCTAAGGTTTGTCTGATGATTGGTCTGACCGGTACGGCATTTTGATTTGCCACCTTTCTAGAAATGTAATATTGTTCTAAGGAATCATTTTAGGTACAGCTACTTGACTACTGAAAAGATTAGTATCAATTAGAACAGTTTGTCCTAACTCACTGTGTTTTATGATATAAGGATTTAAAGTACTTAAAACCTTAAGATGAATTCTAAAAATAGCTGATAATGGTGGTGATCCTGGTAAATACTGTAGCCATTTGTCAAGATTCTAAGCTCAAGAACTTTAGATAGGTTCAGGTCTATGAGTGCTATACTCAAATTCGAATAAATATTGAAATATACTGGTCCATGAGATAAATTGGTTTCGATGGCTCCCATCAAAGAAGCTTTCTAATCAAGACATCTGTCATCTTTAAGTCTATCTGGACAAGTCCCATATGGACATATTTATATTTTTTCAAAAATGGTGCTAAATCTTGTATCTGGAGTAATTGGATTAGTTTATCATCATTCTGTAATGAAACCTCGTGTTCAAAAGTTTTAATGATTTTTCTACTGGTAAAATCAAAGGTACCAATTTTATAAATGGTTTCTGGTTTCAATTTTGGGATTGTCCATTTATCAAGGGCTTCCCTCACATCCTGATAGGCTACTAGTTTTGCTGCTTCTGATGTAGAAGCTACTGTTATAATGGTTGCTTCTTCTGCCATTTGTCGTATGTGACCATATATGTGACAATAATGGAATGTGATTTACCCTTACACTCCAAGATTAAAGTTTTATTAATTAACTCCACAGACGAAGTAACCACTTTGATTCTGGTATGGAAGAAGGATTTTGGTTAACAAATATGGCCATCCAGGTTGAGAACAGAACCCCATAAACTTCCAATGTTGTTGAGAGTGTTCCTATTCCAAATATTCATGGATAGGCCATAACACCTCAACCACACACATCTTTCTTGTTCCAAATGAATTCCGAGCTTCCATTCCACTACAAATTGACCCCAATCCTTGAACCAATCTTTGATATTGCCAATGTTTGATTTTAGCTCCTCCTAAGATTTGAAAGTTAAAATTACATCACGACCACCCCCTTTTCTGACCATTATCTGCCCCAACCCTTTCTCCTTCAGGGTTTTGATAATACTGTGAGTGGAATATTCAGCATTAAATCGGATTACGACACTTTCGTAAAGCCAACCATGACCCTCTTCATTTACTTTTATGATGGTACGTGCTTTCCCAGCCTCCATGGGGGTGACCCCTTGTAATATATCAGCGAAGGATCTATGACCACTAGGTAAAACTTGACCCCTAGATCTGTTGGTTTCAAAAGATCTTCTAATGAACTGAGGTTTTCTGATGAACCGTGGCTTTCTCCTGTTCTACTCCTCTCTGTTTCGTCTATCATAAGTGGCATTTTTGAATTTTGATACCATGTCATCCACCAGAAGGCCATTTGCTTTTTGGATGGCTACATCTGCTGCTACATGACAGTTGAATCTCACAAACCTGAATCTTGAGTTTGTCACTTTCCTTCTTTTGGAAGGGATGAAGACATCCTTCACAATGCCAAACTTTGTGAAAAGTTTGAATAGTGATTTAGTATCCATTTTTGTCGGTATGTTATCCACGAAGACAGTAAAAAAATCCATGCATTGCTTCCTTGCCTTACCCTCTACCACATTTTCGCTGACTTACAACCAGAATCCAACCTTCGTTTCTGACTTGCTCCATTTCCTATGATATTCCCCACTTAGTTTTGTTCTAGATTTAAGTCATATCATGTCCTATTAAAAATAAGGCATAGTAAAATTGTTGCTAAAAATAATTTTTTGTGACGATTTTTTTATATGTGGCTCAAAATTGGCAATTAGTAACTTTTTTTTTTTATCACGGTTTTAATAAAGTATCGCTAAAACTTACAATTAATGACATTTTTGTGATGGATTTTTGAAACTGTCACTGAAAGTTGAAAATTAATGATTTTTTTTTGTGACGATTTTTTAAACTGTTGCTAAAACTTATAATTAGTAACATTTTTTGTGACAAAATTTTCAAACTGTTGCTAAAAATTAACAATTAGTGACTTTTTTAATTTTGTTTGATGAAAAATGCTATTAATTATCATAGGATCTATTGAACGACAAGTCCACCATTAGGACCTACACGTAAGTCCCCTTATTATTAATTTTAGTCAAGACCTCTCAATTGGATGCTTATTTGATGAAAATGATAATTCAATTTATTTTGCTTCATAAACCCTTAAAGGGGAGACGCATAATTGAGTACGAATATAGTAAATTTTTTTTTCTTCGACAATATTGCCCATGCATATATATATATATATATATCACAAAACTCTTTTGATGAGGACCATTTTAATTTTATTTTATACGAGTTTAAAAATATTGTGTATGTGTATTTTTGGTTGGTTCATGTAGTATGTACTCTGTTTTTTGTAACAATAAAATATTACTGTGAATTAGAGTAAAACATAGTAACATGTTATTATTTACATCAATTTCGATGATATTTTTTTATTATTGATTTTGAAGAATTTCATAGTCAACATAGATCTTGTTTGATAGATCATGATGAGATAATTTTAAAAATACTAATATTTTAAAAAATTGACATTTAAATCAAAAGTTATATTATTTTAAAATTTGAAATATTAATTTACTCACTAATTATATTTTGGTGATAATGGTATGTATTAGATTTTTCAAGGAAAACTTTTTATGGTTATTCTTAATGAATTAGAATTTTATCATGAGAGAGTTTTGACTAAATGCCTCTCGATTTTAATATCATTAATTATTAAAAAAATAAAAAACAGTTGGATCACTAAGATTAGACAGTTACGTGATTTACTACAAATTGTCAAATGATTGGATGACAATGATTTTTAGAGAAACTAAAATAGGAAACAAAGTGCATGCATGGAAGATAGCATTTGATAATAATAAAATCAACCCTATATTTATTTATCAATAGAAGATAGTATTTGATTAACCTAGTTTACAAAATACAAATTATTATTATTTTGCTTGTAATGCACGCAAACTTATTACTGAAGAAAGAAATTCATCTAAAACCAAACACTACCCGACTTCAAAAACATAGTCGGCTAAGTCTCAAAGCCCTATATAATACTCTCTTCTCACTTTATTTTCTCATATTGGTCCCATAATCTAATCTCTCTCAAATTCTTAGTATTTCCCAAGAAAAAAGAAAAATCTTTAGTCTTTCTATTACTTTTTTCGACTATTTTATTTCTCAAGAAAAGTCAGCAATGGCAGCCAAGATTACAATAGGATACAAATTTATACCAATGGACAAGGAACTTGTTCTTCATTATTTGAGAGCAAAGGCCAAAGGACAGCCATTACCGGTAAAGGGTTTAGTGAATAAATGCAATCTCTACGACGATCAAGAACTGTCAAAGATATTCAGCAAAATGAGAACCAAATCGAAGTTGTACTATTATTTTACGGAGTTGAAGAAGAAGAATGGGAAAGGAAAAAGGATTGATCGCCTAGCAGGGAAGGGTACGTGGAAGGGACTCGACAGAGGCAAGCCTATTCACGACAATGAAGGAAGGCTTACTGGACGCAAGCGAAGTTTCGATTATATCAACAGAGAATCAAGTGAACAAAGTGTGTGGGACATGAAAGAGTACAGTCTTGAAGGTGTTTCTCTGGAAGATGATCAATTGATCAAAGTGAGTTCTTTCTCTCTAGTTCTATGTTTTCGATTAATTATTGTTTTTTAATTTTATTTGTCATATGTTGTTGTTTTGTTTAATGAAAGAGGTTTGATCATCATCCATATGTGGTAGTTTCAAGATCAAACTCACATACACAACTTATCAGATGGCAGAAAGTGATATGAATTTTACACCAGGAAGTGAAATTAGAAAACAACTGAACCAAGATTTTATATAAGAAAAATATCAGGAATTTAGAATATGGTATTTTAATAACCATTTTCAGCAACAACTTCAACAGTAAAAAAATCAATAGTATTATCATTTAGCAAAATATCAAATCCTTTGATCTTTTCCTAAATGGTATAATGAATTTAGCACAGTTATGGACCTCATTTTCGATCAGCAGATTAATGTCCTAGAGAAAATCCAAAGGACATGGACAACAGTAAGTGGTCAAACCATAATCTTTGTCCATCCACCACCACAGTCTTTAGTGTTAGCTCCTACTGATCTCATCAACCGTTAGTGATTACAGCTTATGTGGAAACTCCTTCCAGAATGGCTCAGAAAGAGTCTTTACAAATTAAAGATATTGTACCATTAATAGAAGAACAATTATACTAATTTATGTTTTCAAACAGTAGGCAAACAGTTGACTAGAATCGAGGAAACCATTGATACTTTTAAAGATCGTCAATCGGTCCCGTTCTCAGCCTCTACTCTTCAATCGGTAAAACGTTCTATTCAAAAGAATAATGAATTTATGGATACCCTTTTGAAAAAAAAAATGAATGAATTAAATTTAGGAAAAACAGCATCAGGTAGTAGTTTCGTAAACATGTTGTCTACTCAACAATTTCCAGAAATACATTCGGATGCTGATAAAGGTGTTACACCTTCATTAATTTATGAAATCCAGAATAATTTTCAAGATATGCAATCTGTTAACAGAACTGCTTTCCCAAAACAAACCGACATGACAGCCATACAAGACGCCAGTAGGTATTATTATCATAGACCTACACCATGGGATATTCTTTATGAAGAAGACTTCTTTCATGGCCAGAACTCTTATCATGGAAAAACCATTCATGAATGGAATATAGATGGTTATTCTGAATATCAGATATTTGAATGTATACATCAGATTATTATACATGCCACTGTTTGTAAACAGAGTAATAATTCTAACCATCAGATAATTAGATTCATTGTTAATGGATTTTCAGGTATCCTTAAAGGATGGTGGGATAATGTTCTCACTTTTAATCAACAGCATGAAATCTTAAATGCTACCAAAACAGAAACCAATCCCACTAGTAATACTGTTACTCAAAGAGAGGATGCAGTTTATGCTTTAGTTCAGACTATTCTCTACCATTTTATTGGGAGCACTACAGTTAATGATGACCGTAGCCGTGAATTACTTCAGAATCTTAGATATCCATCTTTAACCCATTTTCATTGGTATAAAGATGTGTTTTTATTAATCCGTTTTGGTATTCCATGGATTTGAAAAATGAGACTTTCAGTGTGATTATCAGAATAAGATCCCACGTCTCAAAAGGGTTTTCTTTGTGAGATGGTAGGATAAGGGTATGAACCCTACTCTACCAGAAACTGTCCAGAAAATCAAGGCACATTCTCAAGCCTGTTGGGGTGCTATTCCAAAAACTATTCCCAGCCAACCAGTTACTCAAAATTAGTTTTTACAAATCCAAATAGAATTACGACAAAAATATCCTAATTTGTCAGAAACAGAATTAATTGTTAAAAGTATAGATTATATGAAAGAACAGTTTCTCCAAACTATTTCCGGGGATGATACCTCCATGAAATCTGTTACCAGTAGTCAAGACCATGAGGATCCTGACCAGGATGAAAATGAATTTGCTGTGTTTAGCTGGCGAATCACAAGCACCAGAAGATGATGAACCCAACTTTGGTGATTTTTGGGATTCACTCACCAGTATGATTGCCGACAAAATCAACAAAGAAAAACATCAAAAAAGGTAAAGGCAAAGCATGATGGGTTTTGTCCCTCACTCGCAAAACCATCGGCATAAAACGAAAAAACCAATACAACAACTTTTGACAAAAGCAGATGCTCTGTCTGCTATCCAGATCTACCACACAGCTGTCCAAATAGTTGCCCACCACCAGACAAAGAAGATAGGATGCTGAGTCATGACGATAAAGACGTTCGACTCCACTCCACAAGGACATGCCACCTGCCCTCCTCTTATCTTATCTTTTCCATTCCTTGTATTATAAAAGGAGAAGGTCCTCACCCTTGTTGAGGTAGAGTTTTAAAAGTGTGAGTTTTAAGTATAAGTTTTTATTAGTAAGCTCTCCCTCTCTTCTCTTGTAAACATTTCTCCAATATACAAATTAAGTATTGAATAATTAAGCTGCTTTGAAGATTGTGATTGTAAGTGTTGATTTTTAATGTATGCCCTCTGTTGATACACTTGTTGATTTATTAAATGTATAGAATTTTATATTACAAGTCGTAATAATTACCTAACATTATTTCAAGATCCATATCCCCAGCCCTGGGCGGCACAACAGATAGAATTTTGTGAGCAACAAATAAACAGAATCCAACAGCAAATACATGAACATATCTATGTGTGGGCAGTCGCTGTTAGGCTTCCACCTCAACAGTAAATCATGAGACCATATATGTTATAATTTGTTCACATGAGGATAGAATAAAGTTAGGAGAAGTGAGACGTCATCCAAGTCGTGTATAGGTTAGTCCACTAGCATGGATTGCTTATAGGACACGTACACCTTATAAATCATTGACAGACGTGCTTAGCCTAGCCCCCTTTCGAGCACTTAGTTGGTATCAGAGCCAGGTTTATACATATACATAATACATATATATATATGATATTTAAATTATACATCTATGGCCACATACGACAAATGGCAGAAGAAGCAACCATTACAACAGTAGCCAATATAGTAGCTTCTACATCAGAAGTAGTAAAACTAGTAGCCTATCAGGATGTGAGGGAAGCCCTTGATAAATGGACAATCCCAAAAGTGAAACCAAAAACCATTTATAAAATTGGTACCTTTGATTTTACCAGTAGAAAAATCGTTAAAACTTCTGAACACGAAGTTTCTTTACAGAATGATGATGAAGTAATCCAATTACTCCAGATACAAGATTTAGTACCATTTTTGAAAAAATATAGATATGTCCATATAGGACTTGTCCAGATAACTTTTAAACACTTAACTCTGTTAGGGAAAAATACCAGCCTTACTAGTACACTTAGAGATGGAAGATGTCTTGATTGGAAAGCTTCTTTGATGGGAGCCATCGAAACCAGTTTATCTCATGGACTAGTATATTTCAATATTTATCCAAATTTGAGTATAGCACTCATATACCCAAACCTATCTAAAGTTCTTGAACTTAGAATCTTGACAAATGGCTACCAGTATTTACTAGGATCACCACCATTATCAGCTATTTTCAGAATTCATCTTAAGGTTTTAAGTACTTTAAATCCATATATCAGAAAACACAGTGAGTTGGGATAAACTGTTCTAATTGATACTAATCTTTTCAGTAGTCAGGTAGTTGTTCCTAAAATGATTCCTTGGAACAATATTACATTTCCAGAAATGTGGCAAATCCAGAATGCCGTATTGGTCAGACCAATCATCTTATTCTGATAAGCACACTAAAAGTCTTATTTACGAATCCATGGAAAACCAAAACGGATTGTGAAATGGACTAAAGATTTTGTAATAGAGATATCTTTATTTACTGGTGCTGGTAAAATATGCCATTCATCATAGGCTTCCTTGGTTGGTACTGGTAAAACTTCTAACTATAATCCAAATTTATCTCACCAAACGAGGAACCAAGAAAGGACATCATTTTTTAGGACATTAGGGCAAATACGGATAAACCAAGATTGGTTATTAATATGATTCTGATAGTAAAATGTTTGAGTGAAAGCATTGATATAGTCCCAATAACTATACCGGGCTTCCTTGTTACGAATGTCGAGTTGCCGGGTAGTATGGGAGTGAATGCCCCATGTGGTAATAGGCATAATGTTTCAGATAATTATTTTTCTATACTGAATAGGTGTCATGACCCAAACCCACGCCCATGGGTTTAGCATCGTAACCGGCCAGTAATCCTTGGATTACCAAAGGCCTCTTAACAGAATATCTTATAGTTAGGGGCCACAGAAGCAAATATACGAAATATACGTGGTCCAATAAGTTGTGATGACATACAAGGGACAAAAGTTAAAATTTTATACTCGTATATATGACGTTGTAAAAGCATCAATCTTACGTCACTTGAGCCATTTATACAAAACTTTCAAACACATGTTCAGTCCAGACATAAACATTTAGGAGACACAAAAGTTCCAAAACACAAAAGCTTGGGCAAATCTCAAAAAGGAACCTCCACAGGAGGCATGATAGCTAGCTGACACCCAAACTCCAGGCGGCAGTTTAGGCCTGGTCACGTGCTTACTCACCTACATACATAATACAACTAGTGAGCGGAAGCCCAGTAAATAATAACGGAGTAAAGGGTTTTAATGAATGATATCCATACAGATTCAGAAATCATAATTCAGATTCGTAACAGATTAATATCCATATTCTTGTTCAGATCATATACAGAAATCAGAGTTCATGCTTTATCATACGTGGTACATCCAGTAGCGCTAACAGAACAGATACAGAACAAATGCAGAACATATGGTGGTTATGAATAACCAATTCTATAAAGGAACCTCCGAATTCGGGTAATAGAGAATAAACATGCTGAGCCCCATGATGGAGGCTCCGCTACGGATAACAGATGACAGACATAATAAGTTCCATAACAGAACCTCTGATACCGGATAACAGAGAATATACATGCTGAGCTCCATGATGGAGCCTCCGGTACGGGTAACAGATGACAGACATAATAAGTTCCATAATCGAACCTCCGATACCGGGTACCGGGTAACAGCTAACAGATATCACATAATGCTAAGGATACCACGAATACATTGTCAGAAATTGGACAATCATTCATTGTACAGAACATATCATTTCAAAAAACTAGACCTTAATTTATCATACAGAAAATAAATAAAGTTGAATATAGCATTACTAAGTTATTACTCACAGTTGGCTTTGGGTGCAGATAGACAGAGCAGGCTAATCAAACGATCTACGGCACGTGACCTACATTAACACATAACAAATACACCTTTGAAACACACGTTAGAATGCATCTAACCCATTACGTTCTTGTTCTTAGTGTGTCTTTACCCTTATTCTTATTATGGTGCCTTGACCATGGCCTATAAATGCCCAGGATGGAATGAGGATGCAAAAATTGCACTTGAAATCATTTTTCAAAACTTGCTGAAAACAAGGTCCACGCTCAAGCGTAGGTTCAAAGTTTGAAATTTCCAGATTTGATCTCCAAGCTTCAAACTCAACCCAAACACTTCAAAACTCATCCTCTTGGGCCAAAATTCTAGAAAACATTTAGATATTCTCAAAATATCATGATTTAAAGATCCTTTCATGAAATCATTGCCCAAAAGCATGCCAATTGTTCGCAAACTCAATTTAAACTTCATGAACTCTCCAAAAACATGACATGCATGAAATGATTGAGCTTCAAGTTTCCAAATCATGATCAAATGAAATGAGAGGATAGAAAACATGATGAATTTTTACAACTAAGCTTAATTTATGGCATACATGAGAGAATTCGTAGTAAACATGCTTCAAATGTAATGAAATGTACATGCATGCATGGAATGGTCATATTTCTTACTTCCTTAACTCAATTCTCATGTTTAACCACTTAATCTCTTGAATTCCTCCACTAATGTCTAGAATGCAAAGCTTAAGGACAAATCCTCATCTAGAGTCTTCAATTCCTCGGGGTTTAATGATGATTTGAGCAATTCTCCAATTTCTAAGCAAGTTCCTACCAACTTCAAGGTTTGATCTCAATTCTTGCCCTCTCTCTCTCTTTCTCCCATGTTTTTATCTCTTGGAGGCTTAAAGATGGTATGAAAAAGAGGCTCAAGTGAGGTATATAGGCCTTATGTAGGCTTAAGTACAGATGTACTTAATTAAGGTCAAATATATGGACATTAAGTCAAACTAATTTAATCGTTCCAAATCAAATTTCAATTAAACCTACCATAAACTTCTATAAATTTCACATAACACATATACCAAGTCAATTCCGTGATCGGATGCCAATAAGGCCTTTGATTCACAAAATGTAGCAGAATCTCAAACAGATATTCTTACAATAAACAGATAGGAACACAAATAATGCACCACATATGCAATTAATTCAAAATCCGATCTTAATATCTTATTAGGCGTATTAAATAATAAATTATCGTTAATCTTGGGTCGGGGTTGTTACAGTCTTCCTCCCTTAAGGAGTTCGGTCCTTCAAACTCGAATTACCTTCATTTTGGAAGAGCACTGGATCCAAAGGAAACTGTTCGGGATATCTTTTCATCATATCTTCCTCTATCTCCCAAGTTGCATAAGTTCTTTCACGATTCTGCCAATCAACCTTCACTAACGGAATTTCCTTGTTTCTCAATCTTTTGATCTGGCGATTCACATCCTGAATAGGTATTTCTTCATAAGTATAATCATCCTTCAAAAGCATATGGGTCGGCTCTATAACATGGAGCGGGTCTCATAAGTAATCTCGAATCATTGAAACATTAAAAATATTGTGCCCATGCTCTATTACCGAATGTAAGGCTACCCGATACGTTACCGGGTTAATCTTTTCAAGAATCTCATATGGCCCAACATACCTCGGCGCCAACTTGCCCTTAACACCAAATCGAGTTTGTCCTTTCATAGGGGTCACTTTTATAAACACATGGTCCCCGATTTC